ACAAATTGTAACATGAAATCCAGCGTCATTGACAGCAGATAATAGTTGTTTATCCAAGGCAATGGAGTCCATTATTTTTTAGTTCATAATTTGCTCTTTGGCTCTGTTGTTTGTAAACTTTATGCCATTTCAAGAACTGTGGCTACAGATGGAGTTAGTGTGCTAGAAGAGACTCTCCTTTCTGCTTCTGTTGTTTTGCTGTATTCTGCATATCGAACAGGATCTTGTGTTTTGTGGAATCAGTCTTGTAATATAGATGTTCTTGGTTACAGTACCTCCTCTCCTCTTGATGATGATGTTCCTTGATACTCAACATAAACTATGATGATGTTCTTTGTAGAAACTGTGAAAATGTTTCACACAGCCAACATTTGCAGTGTTGATCTGCTGCAGCTCAAACTGTTTGAATGCATCTGTGAAGCCTGGGAAGGCAAACGAAAGCGAATGGGAAGAATGTAATTGTCACACCATTTAAGGTGGAGAAGAATATTCAAAGCTATCAGCTTCATGGAATGTGAACATCAATCTAATCACTATTTCTTATTTTCATTACCATTAAAATGTTTTGTAAAGTCTTAGAACTTTATTGTAGGTCTATTTAATTTTGTTTTTTTCCAGTGAAAAATTTTGGTGGCTGAAGTTTCGCTGCATTCTCATATGTACCAGAATGTTGCTTGTTGGAATTAATGGGGTTCTTTTGTGTGTTCCAGGTGTATCTGTCAGAGTGGCAGGGGCAAAAAGTAGCACTGTCTGTCCTTTCATCAAATCAGTATAAAGCTGATTTCCTTCATGGGGTGTCCATGCTGCGGTCACTGCAGAGTGTCCGTGTAGTAACGCTAGTGGGCGCATGTGAAGAAGATGGAGTGTTTGTAACAGAGTACCACCCTTTGGGATCTGCACTCACACTAGATGCTACTCTTGCTCAGGATCGTTACCACCGTCAGAACTCCTGGCAGACACGGCTGCGGCTGGCACTGGATTATGTTGCCTTCCTGGTCTTCTTGCACAACAGCCCAGTGGGCACCCGTGTCATGTGCGACTCTAATGACCTACACAAAACGCTCAGTCAGTTCCTCCTGACCTCTGATCTGCGGCTTTTAGCAAATGACCTGGATGCCCTGCCAGAGGTAGTGCCTGGCCGTCAGGGGGTAAAGTGTGGTCACCATCAGCTGATGGGACAGTTTGTTGCTCCAGAGCAGCTGTGGCCTTATGGCGAGGATGTGCCTTTCTCAGACAATCGGATGCCTGGTTACGATGAAAAGTCAGACATCTGGAAGATTCCAGACGTGACACGTTTTTTGCTGGGTCACGTCTCAGGAAGTGACGTTATCCATTTCCACCTCTTTCAGATACATGCAGAGTGTAAGAAGCAGGATCCTCGGTTACGGCCATCAGCACGTGAGGTCCTGAATGCGTATCGCTCTGTTTATGACAGCATGAAGGAAAGCCACACAGAGATTGTCAGAGAAATGTTGTAAAATTTCATTGTATGACACTGTATTTCATTTATTTCACATATTAAGAAAAAGTCAAAGAGGCAGTCTGAGGCCAATGTGACTAATAGTGGTTAAGTATTTCCTGTCCTTGTAGTAGTATTGATTAGCAGAATAGGCAATAACTGATCCTAAAGTAATTCTTTATTTCTTAGTAATTCTTAGTTTTCTTATCATTTTTGCATTGTCTGAGCATTGATAATTGTTTAAGAAAAACAGGATGCATTTAATAAAGTTTAAACCATGTGCTTTTGGTCAGTGACTTCTCATTCTCTTTGTCTCTTATTATAAAGGTAATTTTCCTGTGTTTTTACATTGTAATATGCTATATATATCAATATGTCTGTGACTGTCAACTTTTTGTACATTGCAGTAGTTGTGGCATTGTAGTACATCATTTGAAGTTATGATCGATCTGCTCTGACAAAACATGCTGATATGATCTGAGTAAAATTAACCATAAAAAAGTGATCCTATATCAGCAACATTACTTTTTTTTTTTTTTAAATACCGTCTTACATAATATTTCACCCTGTGCAATAGCTCTGGACAGTAGTAAATTAGGTGCACATAAAATTTAAATATATATTTATGAAATGTACAGCAAACCAGGTCTTAGAGTAGAATACAGTTTTATGTGCCTTTTTTATCATTGTGTAATGTTATATACAGTGTGTCCTTATATGATTCATTCATATAATGTATAATGACTGCATATTCCTTCTATTATGAATAACATTAAACAGAAATGCAGTTTTGTTGCTCACCACTGCACTGCTTTTTTTCTGTTTTCTCAGTTGCTTAATTGATTTCATCAGCTAGTTTCTAAACCCTCCATGAATTTTGTCTGCATTCAAACTTGGGCTGCCAGAGCTGATTCACTGGTTTTAAAATGAGAATTCTGAGAGGAAACTCAAAACTCCAGTAATTCTGCTAATTCTACTCTTTGAGAGTCCTCAGGGCACTCTGATCTGAAAGTGTGCTAGCTGAAACGGAAAACTGGCATCTCTGAACGACGTGTGTTTCAATGATGTAAGTGCATTACCTACTTTTATCATCATATCTTCATTAGTATTATGTTAATTTAGCATTTGAGGCCTAAACATTGGACAGGACCTTGTTTTTGAGCCTGTGCCTATGATGTTAATATGCACAGACACATGAAATGAAGCCTCTGATTTTAGCAAAAAAAAGCTTATGTAGTAGCAGCTTTTAGCTCCTCATACACAGACATGGAGTTATTTCACTCCACTAAATTGACAGTTTATGTTGTGCTTTACTTAATACTAAATGAACAAACCTTTTGTCTTAAGCAGCCAATGTGCAATGTTTATGGTGGGCTGGGGGCCAAAAAAGACAATAGAAATACAAAGAAAGAAGGCACACAGATTACAAAAAAAAACTCTATTTGTCTACTGAAATACTTCAAAAACAAGGAAAATGAGAACTGAATAAATTCGTTCAAAGTCAGAGTTAAAGACACAGACTTTTAACAGACTTGGACTTTGACTGACTAGTGACTGGCTGGTGACAATTTTAGCTAATTGTGAGCACAACTCAAAAAGTCTAGACAGTAGCCTACATGACTAGCAAACACAACTGTACACACCATGTACACACATAAAATCATAATATTTTTCATGAAAACAAAAAAGTTTACAAAACTGCAGAAATATGTGTTTCAGTAGTGACAATTCTTAATGTTATACACTGATTTTTAGACTTTGGGACACATTTACTTCAAAACAATAGTATGTAACTGCTCACCAAGTGGACATGAGGGACAGGGACGCAGTCTCACTGAAATGTAAGTGTGTGGCTAAAATAAGGCTCCGCATATGGACTAAAACATTGTTGCTGTGTCAGAAATGGTCCCCTAATCACTATACCACGTATTGGCAAATGTGGATCACTATATAGAGCACTATTATAAAGAACAGAATTCATAATGGTAGTAAACGATTTTGGACACTAACATCATAAAGGTTTGCTCATTACCTACAAACAATGCAATGCATTATGGGTATTCACTATTCCCAAGGAGACATCAATTGTGCATTACTTATTGTGGTGCATTGCGGGATTGTTTGAGTGCACTGGATCTTTTGCACTGTTTTCAGACACCACTACAAAATATTTATATATCTATATTTATATATATACATATATATTTATTATTCAAATTTTATTTTATATATATATATTATATATATATATATATATATATATTTTAATTTGTGCTTATTTTTACGATTAGTGTTTAGTGTTTATTTAGTGTCTATTTAAATTCACACTTTTCCTGTTTACTTTCTATTTAATGTTATTGCTACACCATGGGGTCTGAGAGTAACGCAATTTCAATACTCTGTATGTCCTGTACATATTGTAGTATTGACAATAAAGCTGACTTGACTTGACTTGACTTGAAATGGTGGAACCCCCCCAAATAGTGCACTATATAGTGAATAGGGCACAGTTTCGGACACTAATGTGTTTCAGTAGTGACATGAAAAGGTGGGACAGCATTTTTTTAATATAAAAAATTAAACTTATGATAAATCTACATCTTCCAACTTTACAAAATCAAAAAGATCCTTTAAAAGCACTGGTTAAAGTAAGTATGGGTTAGGGTTTGGGACAGACACCTCCCAATAGAAAATACCCTATAAATGATGATTTTGTATATATTTATCTTATTACTTTCTTAATTAACGACTTAGGTTTAAATAGATTATGACATAATCCTTGTAAATGTGTAAGGTCTGAATACTTTTACTGTGAGACCAGAGTTTGAGCTAGTTCGATACAATGGTCTATGTGGAGTATTGGTTCATGTAAATACTTCTGTCCAATGATTCACCATTGTAAATTAATTATCAAATCTTATTCTTTATTCATATTGCTCCTATTGTGTTATTGTTTTTCTGGCTGGTGTTGACCAGAGCAGGGTGGATTCCGCTTTGAGTCTTGGTTCCTCTCAAGGGAGGAACTTAGGGAGTTCTTTGCCACTGTTGCACTTGGCTTGCTCGTTTTGGGCTTGGCCTCAGCTTTTCTCTAAAGCTGCTTTGTAAATAAATCCTGAATTGAATTGAATTATGAAAATAGGGTAACTTTGTGGTTTAATACAGTTTGCTTTAAAACAATATGTTTGATGTTCATATTTTAACTGATTTTCGCAGTAGAAATAATTTCGTACAATCGTAAGAAGACTTTTAAAAGTATCGTTATCGGATTTTTTTTTTGGCATCAAAAGGAAAAACGGTGATATCGCACGCCTGTAGCGGAAGCGGAAATACGTCACGTGTTGTCTCCGCGGATTCGCAGCGGTCCAGTGTTTACGTTAGCGGGTCAGTGCGGGGCTCCTACCTGCGGCCGACTCGCTGTGTTTGTGCCCGGAGTGCAGCTCCAGCGCCGTCTCCGGCGGGACTGCGCGCTGAAGCGGAGCTGGGCTCAGGCCCCGAGTCTCCGTCCGTAACTTTTTGTGTTCAAAACGGCGCCGCCGCCACAATGAGCTCGGGCCAGCCGAGCGACAGCAGCGAGCCGGAGGAGCCGCGGGGCACCGGCGTCCGTCACCTGAACGAGCTGTTCCGAGAGGATGAGAGCGACGAGGAGGAGGAAGAAGAAGAGAGCGGCTCCAGGCCGCCCTCTCCTCCCAAGGAGAGCAGCGGGGGCCCTAGGCTGGAGTCTGCGGGAGACGGCGCGCGGAGCTCGGGGTGCAGGAGCTCGGGGCTCTGCGACTCCCTCTTCTCGTGGCTGTGGAAGCGGACTGTCCGCAGAGGGCCGCTCGTAGACCCTGCCCGCGATAACTTCCGCACCATGACCCGACTCTATTCGTCCATGAGCCCCGCCACGGACTCGGTGAACCTGAGCACGCAGACCCACGGGGCCGTGTTTAATCTGGAGTACTCGCCGGACGGGTAAGCTGAGAGAGAAAGAGGCTCTTTCAAAGAGCCAGAATAGTTTTTATAAACAAACAAACCCGCTCACAGGGAGGGCAAAGCTCGACCCCCTACAGTCTGCTGGCAGCCCACGACAGCGCGTTTGTGTGTTTTGTAGGTCGGTGCTGACTGTAGCCTGCGAGCAGACGGAGGTGCTGCTGTTCGATCCCGTTTCATCCAGACATATCAAAACGTTGGTGGAGGCGCATGAGGACTGTGTGAACAACATCAGGTAGGTGCACTGCCGACAGCAGACCTGAGGAGAGGTTCGCCCGCAACAGCAGGTGTGTTTATGTGCACTGGAAGAAACATCGATCAGGGCTCGTCAGGTCGTTCAGGACTAACATCTGTTAAGCTCATGGCATCTGCAGAACTGGGTCAACGTCAGATACAGAAGTTGCGAAGAACATAAACACTGACAAAATGTTAACCTTACCCTCCTCTGTTTCCTTCTTTTTCTCATTCAGTGTTTCTTTAATGGTCTTATAAAGCTGAGGGTTGTTTATATTATTATAAGATGCTCTGAAAGCAGAGGTGGACAAAGTACCAAACTGGTGTACTTGATTGAAACTAAAATATTACTTGAGTAAAAGTAGAATAATTCTTTGTGTTTCTAGTTAAAGTACAGAAGGACTTGCATTCAAATGTTCTTAAACCTAAAAAGTAAAAGTAGTATTTTGGCTCAAATGGAGCCTTAAATAGAATACCTCTACTTTAATTAAAGAAATGTTTTACCAAGAAAATATTTCTGTTTTCATGTAAGTTCTGGCATTTTGTACTTTGTCCACCTCTGTCCAAAATCTTTCTTCAAATTGTCAGGATGAACATTAATGTGTCAGAACTAAGCGGTTGAATAAATTGACACTGACTTTGAATATTCCAGTTGTCTTCAGCTGATTGCTGGACAATTTTTATATTTGGAGCTTTGTATATTTGAGTCGAATAACATACAGGCCTATGCAAAAGTTTAGGCACGCCTGGTCAAATGATGTTTTGTTGCTTTACTAAGTGAAAATAAGTTAACACACCCTCTAAAGAAAACACACATCTGCACATTTTAATGCATAATTATTGTTTATATGCTGAATTAAACATATTGGGGGAAAATGGGACATTTACAAAGGTTGTGGCACATTTAATTTATTTTTTCTGATATGTTCAAGTCAGCAAATAATGAGAAATTCTGCACAATTTGCAGAAAAATGCTATATTTAAGTTAGTTCCCTGTAGAGGATGTGTTAGCTCACTTTGAACATCAACAAAACATATAATTTGACCAGGGCTATCAAAACGTTTGTATACAAATGTGTGTATGCATTTTAATAATTCTTTCAGCCTTCTCACAAATGAAGCCAAATAATCAATCAGTGGCCTTTAGACACATTCAACCAGGCATATATCACCACTCAGGAGTTTGAAGATAGTGTGTTATTTAGTGGTGTGAGATCTAGTAATTAACTGGCTTTATGATTATGCTGGCAGGTTTCTGGATAACCGGTTATTTGCCACTTGCTCTGATGACACCACCATTGCATTGTGGGACTTGAGAAAGTTGAACTCAAAAGTGTGTTCACTGCATGGCCATGCTAGCTGGGTGAAGAATATAGAGTATGATACACACACTCGCCTGCTTGTAACGTCTGGCTTTGATGGAAATGTCATCACCTGGGACACCAACAGGTTTGTATGTTTGTTATTAAATTCTCATACGGTCTTTTATGCGGTATATGTGTGACTGGTTCTAACTGGTGGTTGTGCATGTAGGTTCACAGAGGACGGCTGCCCCCATAAGAAATTCTTTCACACGCGGTATCTGATGCGGATGCGTCTTACTCCAGACTGCAGTAAGATGCTCATCTCCACTTCCTCTGGTTACCTGCTCATCTTGCATGACCTTGACCTCACCCAGAGTCTAGAGGTCGGCAGCTACCGTATTCTACGGGCCCGACGCGCCCCTCTTAGCACAGGTACGTATGTGCAAAGTGCATACATAATAGAATAATTTTTGCAATAGAAAGGTCAATGACCACGCAGACATTGCCAAGGATTGTGTTGTTACTAATTCTTTTTAGTAAGAAATCATTTTAGAATTGGCTTAATGATTAATGTCAAACAGTACTCAGATTTGAGTGTAAGTATATAAATATTAAGTAAAATAATTCAAATTTAGAAAATTTGGTTTTTGTTGTAAGGTAATAGCAAGCTATTAATAGTATACAGTCAGTGTTCTTTGATTGGTTAAAATTAGAGGTAATTTTTTTGCATGATTATATCAATAAATAAACAGAGTCTTGGTTTTACCTTTCTCAGAAGGTTCCTCAACAGGCTCCAGGACAGCAGGCTCTCGTCACGGCAATGACAGCAAATCTCATCCACACAGAGAAGGTGAGTTAGACTTTTTTATGTCTTTGTGGTTTGGTACATTTGACTTTTCTTTTTTGGTTACATAATATGTTGTTTCAACGAGTTATTGTCATGACTGCATTTAAATTAAGAAGAGATTTTTTTTTTCTCCCTCAGGTTTATCTCCCAGAAACAGTCTGGAGGTTTTGACCCCAGAGATTCCAGGTGAGAGGGACCGAGGGAACTGCATCACCTCTCTGCAGCTGCACCCCAAAGGTTGGGCCACCCTGCTGCGTTGTTCCAGCAACATGGACGACCAAGAGGTCAGCCCCTACCCTGTAACCTCTGTTCAGAGCAGGATGAGACAAGCTAAGAGCTGAAATATACTTCTGCGTTTACGAGTTAGCGAAACGTAGGTGCATGCCCAAAAAATGATCTCAGTAAATCACCACTGGAAACTAAGATTATTAAAGTTTTGAAAAACAGAATAAGGTTCTTCACGAGTAACACAAATGGACAAATGGTAGAATCTGCGCAAGGAAGACATAGATAGATACATACATACATGAGTCAATGACAAATAAGGTTTTCAAAAAGAGCTTTTAAAAATCTTATTAAAAAGACATGATGTGCATTTTTATATTTATATTTGCAGAATTATTTGCATTTATGTCTATGTCCGTCTTAGATCCTAAATATAAATAGGGTTATCAAAGCTTTTAATTGCCTGTTTCAGTTAGGTTAGGGTTGGTTGTGCCACCTGACTTTTCGGACTAAATTAAACAGGCATGTACTTAGACCCCCTGTTGAAACCCTTTGTTCTTGAACTTGAATTTATACTTACATCTTTTCAAATAAATAAACTAAAAAACTAAAAAAAAATATTATAATAATTACCTTCATGTTTCTCCTGAGGTCATACCACCTGATATGATAAACTGAACCGTTCTAACCATGACACAAAAATTACGTTTTCCTAAATTTGTGAAAGGGCTACTGACTTGGCATTGCACCATGACAGTCACATGGGGTTTTCTTTATAATAGAATACCCTGGCCCCTCTTTTTTGAGAGGTATGTTGTTTTTGATTGTGCGACTGATATTTGAGAAAGTAAGAACTTGCAGACAATTTTTTCAGTCAGTCCAGTATTTATAAAGTTGTGTTATTTTGCAACTTTTTTTATTTTAAGTTTTCAAACATAAAACATGGCAAACTATTTTATTTAGAATTTTATATAACTAAATTACCTTTTTTAAAAGCTTACTTAGTCAACGTATATGGTTGGATGGTTGCACTGACATTTTAGGCTACAGAAGGCAAAAGGAAACTAACATGAATTTTATATGGATGCACTGAAAATTGTTTGACAAAGAGGTATTGTTTAATAATTTGATATATTGCATGTATTTATTACATTATCTTTGGAAAAAGAATGGACTTGGTTACAAAAATGCCAACAGTGATAAAGGAGGAAAAAAAAACTTGCAAGTCAATTCTAAAGGGTTCATGTGGCCAGTGGAGAGTGTGACTTGTAGCAGAGGCATGCAGTAATAGCCTCAATCCATACTCAGGAAAGTGCATTGTTACTTCTGTGAAATGGTGCAATAATGACTGCAGCGCCTTTTAGAAAAAAACTTGAGAAGAAGTACAAACGTAGGAGCACAAAAAGCTACTTTTTTGAGTCACCTCCTGTTTTATAACGTCTCAGAGAGCAGCTGTATGTGCATGTAACGACAGACTTTTTTTGGTCTTCTTTTGGATCTTACGGTTTCTCTTCCAGCCAGCAGAGTTTTTACATCTTAGTCTATCTAGCATCCATCAGCATAGGAACTGAAGTTTGTTAGGTGCTATTCTTCTTTTTTATGTATCCTTATATTACTGTAAATGCCTTTTGCGACTGAATATTTGGATATGCTTACATATTAATCCTTCATCTTTGTCTTTATGGAAATATATTTGCATGCATCTTTGCAGACATACAGATCAGCTTTCATTCTTCATTTGTTGTATATATATCACATTATCTTTTTTTTCCTGCAGTGGACTTGTGTGTACGAGTTCCAGGAGGGAGCCCCTCCACGGCCGCCTGTCTCCCCGCGCTGCTCTCTGAGGCTCACGCACTACATAGAGGAGGCCAATGTGGGTCGTGGATACATCAAGGAGCTGTGTTTCAGCCCGGACGGACGGCTCATCTGCTCGCCATACGGTTATGGCGTGCGCCTGCTGGCCTTTGATGAGCGCTGTGCAGAGCTGGCGGACTGCATGCCCGTGCGTACAGCGCTCCTGCGCGAGGTGCGCTCCATCTACTCCCACAGCGATGTGGTGCTCACCTCCAAGTTCTCTCCCACACACTGTCAGCTGGCCTCAGGCTGCCTGAGTGGACGTGTAGCACTCTACCAACCCCACTTTTAGCACACACACAAACAAGGACTCGTCTGGACTCTTGAAAAATCTTCTGGCAGATGGTGAGGAGAAACATACAGCCCTTAAAGGGAGTGTGTGTTTTCTGGGTTCACAGTGTCAGGGTTTGAATGTGGGTTTGTATAAAAGAATTGGATGTTTTTAGAGGATTTCATTTTGTGTGTTAGACAATGTAATCTTTCAAATTTATGAACATGTGTGCAGTAATGAGAGAAATAGCCATTAATCTTTTCTCACAGCACGTGTCCCTGATTGGAGTTGCATGCGGAGCATCACAGCTGAGCTCAAGGTGCTAGTAGGATGGCAGTTACGTTTTGTAGTCTCCATGCCTTTTGCTAAGCATATGACCTCGCCTCCAGTCTTGGAGCCCGGCCTGCATGTCAAGTGCTGACCTCCCTACTACAGCAGCTGGCAGCTTAAGCCAATCAGTTCTCTTTGTATAAAGTAGCACTGAATGTAAGCAGTGCAACTGTTAATGTTGTAATGGATGGAGTTTTCTGCATTTTGCCAAATTTTTTTAGCAGCACCATATTCATCCTTGAGTTCTAATAAGAGCTGCTGTTTCTCTGTGTTTCTTACTAACTTGTCTTTTTATGTTTTGATGGGCACCTTGCCACCTGTGACACTAATGAAGTCATGTTTTTGGGGTCTCATTTGTAGATAGTTTAAGCAGAACGCTTGTGTGCATGTGTGCCTAAGTATGCGTTCAAGTATGCGTGTCTTTTATTAGATAAGCTAACTGCCGATAAATGATTCTTGGTTGAGTGAGCATTGGTGAGGTTCTCCTCTCTTCCTCTCTCACTCTCACACAAACACCAAACTCCTAGACTTTACAGGGACAATCAACATTATTGCCTAAATCTGAAATTCAGTTTTTCTTACTCTCAAAACATACATATGCACACTGACTGAAGACAGTTCAGAAGCACAGACATTGTGTTCTGAGAGCTGCAAACATAGAGGACTTTGGGAGATTGAGCTTTTGATGCAGCCGTGTTAATGTTAGATGAGCATTTAACACTGTTGGGGATCTTTTTAATGTAGCCTTCAGGAGGAAAGACTGGCCAGTTCTCTGACTGGCAATGTTTGGAGCCCTCTCACGTTATTCAGCGCATGAAACATCTGGAAAGAAGAAATCGAGGAAAAGGGCCACAGAGGGAGAGAAATTCCTCTGTTGTTCACTCACTCAATCACAAAATGATTCATGCTAGCACTAAAATACTACTAAGATGCAGAGGTACAAAAAAAATAAAGGTTTTTTTTTTCACTTGGTGGAGCTGTTTTTGTCAGAGTGGAACACTGCACTGTAAACATTTAAGAATTTGACATTATGCATTGAACATAATCATACAGTCGTATGGAAGTCAAACATACTGTTAATTTTCTGAGTAAAAGTAAGTTAACGTCCTGTACAGGGAACAAACGTACATTTTTCTACAAAGTTTGTTTTTTCTTTTTTTTTTGTTTAACATTCAGGAAAAAAAATTTATAATGTCCCATAACTTTTGCACATGCCAAATTTAATATTTTATTTATTATATTAACTTCACAGCAATAATGCATTAACATGTGCAGAAATGTGTTCTCCGTGGAGGATGTATTAACTTATTTTCACTTAGAAAATCAATAAAATGTGTAATTTGACCAGGGTTGCCTAAACGTTTGCGTACAACTTTAGATTATACATCATAATGAGCATCCCTTTTAATTGAATGTATAATAGTGATAATAGCTGATGTTGAAAACACCTGTTTATGTTTTACAGTAGTCAACAAATAACTGGATATAGGGCACATCTGTAATGTATGTTACTGCATGATTATTATATGGAGCTCCAATAATTCTACTCTAAAGTCTCTTCATGATATTCCATGAGCAATTATCTGTAGGATCGTTTCCTTATCAGTAATGAAAAGTAGCTGTCTAGTCTAGGGCTGCTTCTCTTATCACTGCACTTAGCTCAGGCATCTCTCTGTGTGTTTGCTTCATTTTAAATATCCCATGATGAGTGGTTAGAATGGATTCAAGAGAAGATATTTCTGCTGGCTTTTGCACTATGCTTTATGTGACCATTCGAGTTGAGTTTTCTGTCATGCAAAGCCGACGAGTAAGACAAGAAAGTTTTATTTGTTATTAGAGTATATGATAAGAAAATTCATTTAGTTACATATTGGTGATGCAAAAATGCTTGGAGTGTAGAAAACCAGCTACACTCTCAGATTTTCACTGGTGAGCTCCAATAGGAGTCAGTTTTAGACATGCATTGGCAGTAAATACATTCAGTGTCTAAAAGCTAGTAACAGGTAGACCTTTTGTGTTGAGCAGGGATGGGTAGATTTAACTCTGAAGACCAGACAGTTTGAGTAAGGTAATCATCATTATTCAATATGTGTCCCTTTTCCTGGGTTTAATTCAAAACATGTTGGCCCTTAAGAAATATGATCAGCTAGGTCAGGGAGAAGTGGTAAGAAATAAGAGTGTCCCGAGTTCACGACTAACTGTGCAGTGTATCTGTACGGAAGACTTTAAGTCATGACCCTTCTTTCACACACTTCTTGGTTCCATCTGTTTCAGCCTTTCCCCATTCTTTGTAAGCAGTGCCTGGCTCCTGTATCTGCTGTCAGTGTCAATGTGTCAGTCACTTTCTCTTGGCTTTGGCACGACGTTGCTGCTGCTCACGGCGGCGGTTCAGAATCTTGGTGCTGACCCGAAGTTTGCGCATTCGTAGAGCGCGGAGGCGGAGCTGCTCATCCCGTGAAAGCTTCCCCCCTTTGGCCAGGATCTGCTTGATGCGTTCACGAGGCGTCTTGGTAAGGCTGAAGTCGCAGACGGTGGGCGTCAGATCTGAGCCCACAGAGCAGCGGCGGACAAGGGGGAAGTAGCCCTCTGCCCACACAATCACCCTATACTCTCCTGGGTTCAACAGGCGCCAGTAATCACCATCAGCAGCTATACAGGACAAAAAAACATGCAGGGAAGTATTAGTGTTCCTAATGATGGCAAGAACCATGTATGCAATGCACATTCCCCAACAGGTTCAGCACAAACCTATCTACACTATATGTCTAAAATTTCGTAGACACCAGCTCATTTAATGCTTCTTCAGAAATCAAGGGTGTCAATATTAGGTTTGCCCCCCTTTGCTGCAGAAACAGCCTCTAGGAACACAGGGAACACTAGATGGTGGAACTTTGCAGTCCCAAAGGTTTTGTATGGAGTTCTATCACTCCAGAGAATGCAGTTACACTGCTCCACAGCCTAATGTTGTGGGGATTTATACCCCCTCTAGTCTACGCTTAACAATGGGAATGGTGGCCTTAGGCTCATGCATGTCTTCTCCAGAGATTCCAATTCTATTGGCCCGAAGTTTGCGCATTCCAGCATGTCTAGAAGCAGTTCTACTGACCTATCTATACTCCACCCACAAATATGTTCTTTTGTAGCTCCTGTGGAGAGGTTGGGCAAGCTTTATAGAATGTTGGCAACAAATCCCATTCAACCTAATGAGAAACTGTAACCTCAAAAGTCTTTTTGTAAAAATACCTATATTTTGAGTGTATGTAATGATCTCACAAGACAAAAATTTGCAGCATGCATCATTTCTTTACTAATACTTGGTTACGCATCTCCTTGCCATAACAACATTGTCAATCCTGTCAAGTAAGGACTCCATTTTAGCCCACACTTCCATGAACTGGTTGCACATTTCAGCCAAAGTCTGGGTGTGCCTATTTCAGCATTTCACTTGCTGTTCCAAATCGAGAATGGACCTATGCACCAGTTGTCATCCTGGAACACAGGAGTATCAATGTTGTGTTCTGCTTTGGACATGAAGCATGAAGTTAATGGAAAATGGACAGGAAGAGTGACTGGTGTAATCCTTACATGACAGGACAGGCAAGGGGATGTGTAACCAAGTATTTCAAAAGAATGATACCTAATTATTTTCCAGTGGGCTTATTTGTTTTGTATATGTGTAAAAAGTCGCATTGTTAAAATAAATCAGTAGTAGCACAATGGAGCTAATGTTCACATGACCACAACTTTGATGTTGTCATTTCCAACCTTACCAGTTTAGATTAGCTACAACAACACAGTCCAGCTCAGTTATGTACTGACTCTAAACAAAGTGTGCTACAATTACTCATTAGGTTGACTAAGATTTTTGCCAATGTTCTGTAAATCTTTATACTAAACTAAGCTAGAGAGCTACGGGCATGATCATTTATGATGAAGATGCTCTATAGAATGGGGTTCAACAGCATAAAAGCAATTTGTGAACAATATTTCGACATATTTCAACATGAACCTTCAGTAGGGAGACTCTCCCTAAAGGGAAACTCACAGAGAGATTTTTTGTCCATAACCATGTTATATTAAGGCATTTTCATTCAATGAGAACATTTACTCTTTGTTCTGTAAAGCTTGTCCAACCTATCAACAGTTTATATGACACATTTGTGGTAATGGATAGAGTGCTGTTCACAGAAATACTGTGTAATACCCTAATATATTTAAAAAATATATACATATTATAAAATATATTTACATAAAACTAAACAAACATATAAACAAGCACACATTCTTTACTTACTTTTAGCAGTTGCAGTTAAACTATCCTGAAATCTGGAGGTGCTGCAGCCCCCACAATACTTATACTTCCCATATCCCTGGATATATCTAATAGCTCAGTGCCAACTCAGTGTATGGATGCTATTGTTCTAATCCACTTACCTGATCTGATGTCATGGTCCAGCCCTGCAACTTTAATGACGGCATTTGCAATACCTTCCTTAGTGTCTTTATCCCTGATCACACCTTTTAGACCTCTATGCACCTGAGAAAGGAAGATGGAACAGTGTATGAGGCTGAAGGCAAGACAGTGGGTTAAAGATTAGAAGCACACTGCACTAACCTGCTCCATGTAGAGCAGAAGAGACTCCTTGTTGTTCTCCCATTCAACAGGAAGCTCACTGGCATGAGGGAACTTGTCACATGACAACTCTACAGTCACCTCAAAACAGTTAGTGTGTAGGTAACTGAAGTCATTCATACCTGCAAACACAGACAAATTAAATTACATGCTGTGTGGGTCAAATGCCTCTATTACAAATGATGTATGGCTTATCTTTATGATGTAAGTATAAAACTATGAATAAATGTCCAGAAAGAATATCTAACAATGGTTAATCCGGTGCTGTATATCTCTGAAACCTTTGCAAGTTGAATGTCCATTATGAGACATGTACAGTATTGTGCAGAAGTTAAAGACCACCTTTCATTCATTTAATTTCTAGCCATCAAGTACAAGTTATTCATTTTTCAGGATATATTTCTGAGGAGATAAGATATTATATAAGATAATCCACTTGCACAAATAAGGGGAAAGTTAAAGGAAAATAGGGGAAAAAACAGGCGTTTCCAAAACTGGAGTTCATTAAAAGATACAGAGAAATAGGACTCTAAACAACTGTGCAAGACCTGGTAGACCACCAAAACCTGGTAGACCACCAAACATCAGTTAACAGCACTTAAATCTTCTTTGAGATGCTCCATTTTTGCTTCAGATCTAAAAAAAAAAGTCCACAGGTGTTTCTGTCCATCCTTCTCATGCAAGAAGACAAATCAATGCTATGGGTCTGAAAGGGTGTGTTAGCTGTTAAGAAGTCATTACTGAGAAAAGGAAATAGACAAAAAAGAAGAAAACTTGCAAATCAAACAAAGAAAGAAGCTGCTGGTGTTCTCAGAACAATGGATTGCCCACCCCAGAGTCCAGACCTCAGTTTCACTGAATGTGTGTAAAATTATTTGGATCAAGAAAAACAGAAAATTGACCGGCTTCTAAGGCTGAATTTTGAAGGTGTGGAAAAATATCCCTGTAGATTCTTTGAAAAACTGAAAGCAAATCTCCCAACAAAAACGGAAGCGGAGTGGACATACTAAATACTAAAAAATATTACATTTAGTTGTAAGGCTTCTTTTTAGTTTGTTAAATGCATGCTTTCTGCTGTTCTCCTGACAGTGTAAAATGAATACCTTCACTTTGACTGGACATTTTTACTCCAGGCAGTTCTGTATCATTACTATTGGTCCATTCATCATGAAATATTCACACAGTGTAAAGGGTATTTTTTTATTGGAGTTATGAGGTTTGGATATGACAGCAACAAAATTTTAGTTTTGTTATTTGCTGTGTTTGGGGGTGTTTTCTCACTTCCTGGGACAGTGTGCCAGTCAGCTCCATTGATGATATTGTTGTGCTGCTGAAAGTC